GCAATATGGTGTCTAAAACGTAAGTCTCTTAATAAAACTTCGTTTATTGAACTGTTGTAAAAAATCAATCACATTTGTATATGGTAATTTACGGAGTAAAAAAGGCACTCTTCCGTGTGAACTTGATTAACTATATCGATTGGTATAAATATACACACTTTCTGCCCCCATGTCTTGAATTTGTGATCATTCTGAATGTATTTTAAGAGACTGAATCATGCAGTGATCACGCAGAGCGGACTCTAAATGTGCGCATGCGCACTAGACTTCATGTAATGCGTGCACTCTGTAGGTGTTTTTAAAGTTTTTTTTTGCGTTGTGAGAATATTGAGCAAAATAGCTCACTTGTCATGGTGTTATTTAACTATATCATGTTATGAATAAACTAAACATTTTGAATTTTTACCTCAGTGTGTTTCTTCTTAGTTTATGTGTGCCGTCACACTCATTTGTTCTTAAGTCTCGAGACAAACAGAGTGAGCCTCAGCGCGAGCTTGTATTCTGCATCTTGCTAACTTACTGCAATTCTCTCTGATGACGCAGTAACTTACCGCGGGGAAGAAAACATCTTCGGTCTGTCCAATGATTGTAAACAGTCATTAGGTCCGTCAGACTTAAGATATTTGAGCGGTAATGAGACCAAAAATAATTAAGACCCACCGAATCCGAATTTAAGACATTTTAAGGACCCGCGGACACCCTGTTTAGGTTCGGTATCTTTAGGTTCACTGTCAAAAATGCCAGTGTGAACACTAAGCGGACCAGGACCAAATGTATCGTTTTCTTTTTTGGTCCGAACCAAGAGAACCAAACTACAAGTGTGAACACACCCTAAAATTAGATTTTTAAAATCCTGCAGATAACCTGAATACCCCCCAACCCCCACCCACACTGACCAAATGTAAACAGATTCTCACCGGTGTAACTGTTCATGTGATACCTAAAGTATAATTAGTTTTTGTACCCATACACTAGCATTGTTATTGTTGTTCTGTCTCTTTAGTTTTGTTTTCTACTGCAAAAAAACAATGGCCTGGACCAGTGTTGCCACCTTGGAACAACTGATTAGTGTAAAACCAAGTCAATGCTCATATGTGACCTGCACGTACAAAGTACGCACAGTTACAAAAATCAGATGGTGCGCATACTATTTTGGTGAATTTTGCGCCATGCATACTGTACGCAGACCCTCGTGTAGACGTAAAACCCAAAGTATACATTGGCCTTGAGGTTTAGTTTTGTTGTGAAGTTCTCCCACACAGTTTGGAGTTTTAATGCTCCTTTCTGATGTGAATTCTCATGTGCCTGTTAAAGCTCGATAGTTGAGTGAAACTGTTTCCACATTGAGAGCATGTGTAAGGCTTCTCACCAGTGTGAACTCTCACGTGTCTTTTAAGGCTTTCTTTTTTAATGAAACCATGTCCACACTGTTTGCAGGTGAAAGGCTTCTCTCCAGTGTGAACCCTCATGTGGACTTTAAGGTTTCCTTGTTGACTGAAATGTTTTCCACACTGTTGGCAGGTGAAAGGCTTCTCTCCAGTGTGAATTCCCATGTGGGCATTATAAATGCTTTTATGTTTAAAATTCTTTCCACATTGAAGGCATGCATAAGGCTGCTCTCCGGTATGAATCCTCATGTGCCTTTTAAGGTTTCCATTTTCAGTGAAACTATTTCCACACTGTTGACAGGTGTAAGGCTTCTCTCCAGTGTGAACTCTCATGTGGACATCAAGGATTCCTTGTTGATTGAAACACTTTCCACACTGTTTGCAGGTGTAAGGCTTCTCTCCTGTGTGAACTCTCATATGTTTTTTAAGGTTTCCTTTTTCAGTGAAAGTATTTCCACACTGTTTGCAGGTGTAAGGCTTCACTCCGGTGTGAATTCTCATGTGGACTTTAAGGTTTCCTTGTTGATTGAAATTTTTTCCGCACTGTTGGCAGGTGAAATGAATTCTAGTTCCAGTCTTCTGAGCTCTTTTTTGTGAGAAAGTCTTTTCAGTCTGTGAACAACTTAATGATTTTTGTCCAGTTATGTAATCACTTTTGCTATACTGATCTCTATCTTGCATTTCATTCAGTACTTCACACTCCTCTTTCAGATCTAGGGTGAAAAGAGACAAATACAAGTTAACACCCATTTTAAAGCAGCAGTAGAACAGAAATAATGGCCAAATCTCTTGCTGTGGCTACTGTGTATAGACCACCAGGGTTGTATACAGATTTTGTAAAAGAATTTGCAGATTTCCTCTCAGACATATTGGTTACTGTTGATAAAGCACTAATTGTCAGAGATTTTAACCCTTTAGGCGCCAGGGTTTTTTTGGGAAATAATGCTGGATTTTGACAAAGATTTCAAAAGCTTGTGGCTTGAAAGGGCTTAAAGATGGAGATCTAATGTAAATTAGAAAAATGTTGGGCATGAACGAAAGTTTATGTGGGGTGTAAATATATTCATCTAATATGCATATTATGACGGCATCAGGGGCGGCCATCTTGAGTTTCATAATATTCAGGAAATAGTGGATACTGAATTGATGTTTGAACCTATTTGGAAGTTTTTTTTTTTTTTGTCTTTTTATCCTCATTCCAAATGATCAGAAAAGAGGAAACCAACAATAAAATAGGAGAAAGTACTAAATTATTACTATATTAACAATACTATATAGTAGTAAAACACATGTGAACAGTAGCCTACTTTGATCAGTTCATCAGTAATATTCAGGAAATAATATATATGGAGTGGATGTTTGAAACTTATTTGCATGTTTTTTTTGTCTTTTAATCCTCATTCCAAATGATCAGGAAAAGTGTTTTATCATGCTGGTATCTTAAGGACTTTCGTGGAGACCTGACTCCTAAAGTTTTTCATATTCTGTGTGGTTGGCAGATAGAAATTAATCTTTTCCAATAAGTTTAAATAGATTTTTACCTTTTA